AGTAAATTGAAAAGTATAATTCGGTTACACGGTCCCACGCATCCCAACATCGAGACCTCCTGTGGGTCACGCGGTCGTCAATAAGATAAAAATTTATTGGTATATTTCTAAATATCCCTCGGTAGGTAAATGTTTCAAATATTTCTTGTACTACTCTAGTCATTTTTATCCTGCAGTCGTTTTTCTGATTTAGGCTATAAGCGAAAGTTATGAAGAGTGCATTGTAGATTAGTTTTTTTTTTTTGAAATATGCCGTATTTTGATCGTTCTTGCCCTTCATATAAGCAGGATTTCACAGATGCCATGCTACCCAATTGCTTATCTCCTTGTTAACTTACAATAACAACATAACGCACCATGATCACAAAGAACTGCTGACATTTTCATGAAGTTCGAATGCGACAACAGCTGCACTGCGCATTCCTCTCAGATTGTGAATTAGCGGTTCTCAATCGTCTAGAAACTACTAGGAACTTTATAAATAGAATAGTGTTGATAAGTTACAGCTGGCTTGCTCGTTGCTTAGTCTGTGACAAAGTGTCAGCTTTGCATTTGTGGAGTTGCTGTCATCAACCCTTACATCAATTTTTGCTGTATCGTACTCTGGCCATTCTTGCTTGAATCTTATATCGTGTGGACTCAGAAACGTAAGATCATCAAGCAAAACTGAAATGTTGAAAAGCAACAGGACGATTAATGTACACTACAAGAAGCTTAAAGAGAAATGGAAGTGCTACGAATTTGGAAGCGTATTTCGAAGTGTCCTCCACCCCCTCCCCATCCTCTGCACCTGCTGTTTTTTTAATGTTAACAAATCTAAGTGAATGCTTAGACGTTTGCAACAATAACATTTTGAATGGGCTAAAAGCTTATTGACTCGTTTCCTTATTATTAACGAAAATATTAGGCAGGCAATCTAGCTAATTTTGAACCTAACCTTTTAACAATCTCGTGCGTGGCTAAGAAAATATATCAATAACACATTCATTTTGCCGAATTTTTTGAAAACATTCCAACTACTTCGCAACGTGCCAGCCAGATGTATCGTTCGAAAGGGCAAGTCCCTCACTACAAGATGCTCCGGGTTCCTCAAAATCCAGAGATTCAGCTGTTGGTGGACTTTTTTTAGCCCTTTGGAGCTACTTTTTAATCACTTCCTGCTTCACAAACTCAAAATTTTTGAACAAATCAAGCGCTCTTGTAGAGGCAGACTTCTGCATCGAATGAGACACAGTTTGCGCCAAAACATTCGATCTCTTAGAACATTTTGACTAAGAAAAGGGCATGAATTTATTACAATCCAGTACCTAAAATTAATCCTCCACATACATACATACTTCTTTATAGTATAGATACGATGATTATAAAAATATCATCCGTTTGTTACGACCTTTTATATCGGTAGTTCTTTATGCTTAATTCTTTCTGCTTCCTTATATTGAACGTATGGAAGCTTTTGATTGTCTTTGTCAACCGCTGCTCTTACTAGGCACTGCTTTCATTGCTGAACAACGTTATAAGCACTCCTATTTGATCTATTGAAATTTGATGTTTAAGCTCCACCTGCGCCATTGCTGGTGAGAATTTTGCGATAGTTGCAAGTGACACGCGTATGTCTCAGATGGAAATCAACATCCTCACAAGAGACGCTGAAAAAGTTCATGTATTGTACGTGCTGTTGCTTTTTATCCCTATCACATACTTTATTTGAGTAGTTACTCTAAAGTTTAGGAACGATTCTGTCATTTTGGCGACATCGGGATTCTATGGTGATGTTTTACAGCTAAAAAGAGTACTGCAGGTGCAGATTACATTGTCATTGAAACATTTTTGAGCTCCATGCTCTATTTACTTACTCTTTTCAAATGTTTCCCACAACATCCTGCTTTCAGGCTCGGCTCCACAAATATCGTTTCGATTATCGCACCGACATGAGCGTTGATTTGATGGCTGAACTCTTATCGCGTAATTTGTATTACAGACGTTTCTTTCCTTATTACACGGGTGCCATCCTAGCCGGTATCGACGAGAATGGTAGGTTTTTCGTTAGTTGCAGCTCCCAACGTTCGCATTAGCACAATAAATGTTTATCATGCTGCTTGCTTGAGCTGTGTGGAATGGATATTTTCGAAGTTTTCTGATCATAGCTTAGTGAGAAATAGTTGGCAGAATTTGTGAAGTATGGATATACTTGATTCTTTAAAAAACTTAAATTATTCTTAGCACGTTATCTTCTTCTAAATGGTGGGAAGTTTATTTTTAACACAATCGATTCCAGGAAAAGGCGCTGTATTCAGTTACGATCCAATCGGGTGCATAGAACGAATCGTATACGCCGCGACGGGTGCTGCCGAACCCATGATGATACCCTTCCTTGACTGTCAAGTGAGTGGCCTTGCTTCTTATTCATATGCTTAGGGAAATGTATTGTCAGGTGGGCAACGTCACTCTTGCCGAGGAAGCTGAGCGTGCGCCACTCACATTACAACGAGCCATTTCTCTCATGAAGGCACCTATTCATGATTGCTCATTCATTCATTGTATACGAAAGCTCCCTGTTTAGGATGCATTCCGTACCGCAGCTGAAAGAGAAATTTCAACCGGTGACAAAATCCACTTGGTTATTGCAGAAGCAGGAAAGCCTATCCAACAGCTGCATCTTCCCCTTCGCGAAGATTGAGATCTATGCACTGCTGAAGTAATAAGTTAAGCACTGGTTATCATATTTATTTGATAAACTACTTCTTATCCGGCTTCGTTCATAAGGACATTTTTGTCTTCCAAGTTCAATGAGCGATCATCATGTCCCCGTCTCATAAAGCAATATTTGGTCATCAACGATCATCATGTACCGTCTTATAAAGCAATATTTGTTTTATTGAGGAAATATTAAGTGGCTTTTTGCAGTGTATATATGTGAATAACTGAATATATTGCTTTGTGGCTCAACCGCACTCAACCAGATATCTTATTACGCCCATTCTTCTGAAATGTTCGAACTCTTTCTGTAAGCAGTTAAGAGGTTTAGAATTCGGCAGTGAGTGCGCCGTGCTTTGCAAAAGCAATTGAGAACCTTGCAAGGGAAGTATAGTTCGTTGACAAACCCTTCTAAATGGGTTTTATATGGCTCTTCCATATCTCTGAGAGAACCTATGACCTTGCCGGGTTTGGGTAATGATACCGCTTAAGAAAGAACGTCGTATTGTTGACTGGTAAGTATGTATCTATAGAGAAAGTAATGAAAGGTGCAGATTTTTTTCGCCAGCAAACGTTTTGTATCTTTGCAAGGTCAATTCTTGTTTTCGCAAATGCAGAAATTCTTGCAAAAACGCAAAGTTATGACAGCAGCAGTATGCGAACCAGTCGCCTCCTACTTTAAGATTCACACCGCTCGGTCAACTACTACTATCAGTAATTGTGGGCGGCGCCTTCGCCAGAACCAAGATCCTCTACTTTTATCAAAGACTCGCTGCACAGATATGGAAGGCGAATTATCTCTGTCTCAAACCTTCTTCAGCTATTTACATCTAGGCTAGAATGACCATGTCGGCAAGTTTCCATCCTTTGCCAACAATCCTTCTTCGCAGCATTGCATGCCTACTTTATGACCTTTTCGCAATTTTTTAAGTTTACTAGTTTAAGTCAAACAATATCAAAAAGCTTTAGGAAAAACCTAAAGAATGTTTGTAAATAAAGGTGTTGTGGAACACTTTGATTATGAACTGTTTATGTACAAAAGAGCTGGGAGGTCTCCTAAACAATTACATCTAGATACAGTCCTTACAA